ATATGTGTTTGATAGAAATCTGGAATTTCTTTTAGTTTTATTTAGGAGAATACATATAGTTTATGGGTTTAGCCCCTGATCTTGAGGTCAAATTATGTGACATACCTTTCCAACAAGGCCAATCTTTCTAATTCACTACAAGAAAAATTAAGGAATTATCGATGAATAAAATTTCATAGTTAAATAATAAAAATGTCATGCTAATCGTTTAACTGAAATATATGAAAATTCAATTAGCTAAGAGCTATTTGGCAGTGAATTAGCTAAGAATTATGGATAAATTCCGTAGGTAATTTCTAGTATAAAGTGTCTAAGATGCACCATTTATACAATGTGACACAACAAACATATGTTTACACATAAAATCGATATGGTTATGTATGAAAAATTCATGAGAAACCATATTTTTGTCTCCCGGCCTCCTCCATATATAATTCGTCGATACAAAAATTGAGTATTTTATTGTTGGTATGCTATGGAAAGCAACAATTTCTGTTAGATGTAAAAGCAGCTTTAACAAGGATTTTGGAAGGTCGGGTGAAATTCACCATTATTGAGAAAACTTGAAAACGTATGTTGGTCTTGTTGTTTGTTGAACTCATGAATTTGTTGTTGAGTTCTGCTTGGCTACTTGTTTAGATAATAAATGTTGTTGGAAATTTTCTCACCAAAAACCATGATAGTGGCAGCCATGCTAGGAAAGATACAAGCGGCCAGTGGGATGGATTATAATGATAATTTCAATAGTAGTATATAAGTTTATATTTTAAAAAAAATGGTGATGACATGTATCACAATCCTATTAGAGGGTGACATACACATATTTTAAAGTATTGGTCAAGCATAAACAAGTGAATCATTTATTAGCAAAAATAATGTATGTATTAGATATTAGTAATATCTTGTTTGATGCACTTTTTCATGCTATGTATAACTAACACATTCTATAGTATATTGGGGAGTGTATTATTAATACCATAAATAATTTTTAGGTATTAGTAATACAAAGAGATTTAATGCATGCATTAACATGGTTACAAACTCAATTACCCTTCAAAACTCTTTTTACATCTTTTTTTTACCATAATTATAGAGGATATTTTTGTAAATAATTTTTTTGTCACAATGCATTCTATTTTTAATACTGCTTGCAACAAATTTTAAATATATGAAAAATAAATAAACCACACGAATAAAATCTGAAGAAACATAATTTTATTGATAAATATGCGGGTACAATTTTGTTCCTCCCTTGATTCTACTCTCCTAAGATTTATCCATGATTCTAGGGCCGTTAGTGGCGTATTTCTCAAACTAGGATGATTTAAATTTGAGCTCTATATGAATATTCCATGACTTTTGTGGAATATTCGAGATCTTTATCGTTAAAAATACCCAAGAGTTTATGGGATGTTTTGAGATGCCTTTTAAGAGAATTTAGTACCCTTTATATAGGCATAAATTAGGGTTCTGAACACACCTTCTGGAGTCCCAATTCGAATTGAACACGTCTTGTAGAGTCCATAAAATTTCAAACCAAACACTGCATATAAAATGATCTATGTATAGCTAATGTAAAAATAACTAACACAAGCATTACTAATGTAAACATTATTAATACACTCTATTTAACATTATCAGTACTCTACCAAACGACCCCTAAAAGATACTTTTAAAAGGTTGAATGCGTGTGTAAGAGATTACCTCTCATCACAAGAATTTGAGCTAAAAGGGTAAATTATGCATTCTAACTATAATTTTCTCGACATTCAAAAGGATAAATATGTCATTTTATTATTTTATCACCTAGCTATTATTCCTTATCTTGATAATCAAACAAACCCTAATGTGTTGGTATTGAAAAAGAAAGAAAGAAAAAAGTGAACGAGGAAGAGGATTATAAATATGAGAAAATATATTACTATTATTCTTGTTTCGATTTATTTGTTTTTTAATAATAATAATAATAATAATATATTTTAAGCATCTTTAATAATTATTTTTTGACAAATAAATGGTTAAATATTACCGCACCAAGGCAAGAAAAAGTCAACGACCCTCAAGAAAGGGTTCTTGTCTCTCCTGGCTTGAAAGTTGAAACAAATTAAAATAGTATTAGATTAAAATTTTCATTTAGAAGAGATTATTCTCACAGTAAATTTTATGATTTTTGCTTAATTTATTAATATGAAGCTCACTTTTTTATTATCGTCATAATTTATAATTATTACTAACTTTTTGCGTGTATTATTTCAATCAATCCCAATAATGTAGAGTAGTAATTCAGGGGCGGCTCTATGCTTTATAAAATAGTTTGGGGCCTTAAATTTTTATCAAGAATAAATTATATGTGTTAAATTTTTATTAAAAAAAATGCTTATTTATGATAAAAAGTATAATATTTTAAAAAATATATTATTTCACTCACTTTAACATATTTTGTATTTTGTTGAAAATAAGAATTAATAGTGAAAAGTGTTGAACAAAGTGAATTACAAATTATTTTTATTTATTTTTAAATTTTAGTTTCAAGCATTACAACAAGCATATTAAAATGGGGGTATATCAAGTCATCAACTTCTTGAGATTCTATGTTTCTACTCTTATCTTTATTCAATATTTGTCAACTTATTACTTATAGAATTATGTTAACAATTCATATAATAATTGCCTCACTGAAATGATGTTTTTCAATGTTGAGCTGATAAAATCTTACCTAAAATTAATAACTGAAAAAATAATATTAAATACTAATAATTTTCATCTAAATAGTGTAAGAAAAATAAAAATTAAATAAATATATATACGAACTTTATTTATATTTTAGATCTCAAATTGAAATTTAATTTTAGACCTCCAATTACATTGAGCCGTGTATATTTGAGGTTCATAATGGTTGGTTAGGTCGCAAGGACCAAATATGAATAAATTGAGATGAGATGAGCGAAATAGTAGTAATAATTGTTGCTTCCTCATTAGCGGCAGGTTGTGGGGCCCTCTTTGTATAACGTCAGCACCCATTTATACTTTATACTCCCATTCCATTATTATTAAATATTAATTAATGACAACCTAAAAAAGATCAACCACATATATTATGTTAAAAAAAGAGCACTAGCTGCGATGACGAAAGCATTCAGAATCCACAAACGAGACTACCACCCAAACATCTCTCTAATTTTATTGTTTGTAGGAGATTATAAAATTAATTTTACGTATATTTAATTTAAAATATTAAAAAGAAATAAACAAGTTAAGATTAAAATAGAGAGGAAAAGTTTGAAATAAGAAGAAAAGAGTAGTGGGGACCATTGGAAGCAGGAAAATTGTAAGGGCAATTCCAAATAAAGTTGGTGCGATGCGGCGAACTGGCCGGGTGCCCTTTTACTGATTAGAGAGTCATGTGGGAAATATGACTCTTTTTCCAATATCGTCAGCATTCTGGATTCAGATTTTAAGGTTGACCCATCTTACTTTTTTCATATCGAGAGTTGTATGTTGAAGGACGATAAATATTTTGATTAGTAGAGCAGCTTGATGTTGTGATTGAATGAGAAAACAAAAAACAGAGAGTATGTATATATGTTGAAATTAGGTAGCTGTGGGGGTGAGTTTGATTGGTATAGTGGAAATTGGAGGTTTAAAAGAGGCAATTGACGGGATGCCGCATATATATATATACGTGAGAGATCGATGGGAAAGGTGTGATACTTTTTCTGTTTTCAAAACCTGAGCTTCTTCTTCATTTAATATGAATGAATATAAGAAATTACCTACAAGTTTAAGGTCTGATTGTTTCCTATATATACCCTTGATGTACATTCCCCGATATTTCTATATATAGCTGGCTTTAATATAAGACGAGATCCACCAAACTCAATCTTCCACCAAATCAAAACCCCAATACTTACTTTTCTTAATACATTTCATTTAAACATTTTAACTAAAGCCATGTTCCAATTGAATACTTCAACTCTTAATAAACTGTTCTATTTAAATACCTTCGCTTCTAATTTCATAACATCTTAATTAAATTAATCACGTAAAATATGTCAACTCAATCTTGGTTTTCATCAGAATCCGTTTGGTCAATAGAATGATATTCTGAAGAATCTTTTTCCAGAAAATGAAGACTCGTTCCCATTCTTTCCTATTTAATTTATATATACATTTTTCACTGCTATTTTTTTTGCCTTTTACGGCGAATAGTTTCATTCAATAAACATAAACACATTCTTATAAATTCGTCATTTTTATCGAGAAATGTTTCTCACATCACTGTTTTACCAAACACACATATTGCTTATATATATATATATTATCAAAAGTTTAATTTATATTTCGTTGGTGTAAAGAATATTAGACCATCCAATGAATATTTATAATTAGGATGTCTTAAAATGTGAAATTAAAAATAAATACTTAGTGGACATTTGGGCATAGATTCCAATTTATTTATTTTTACTTAATTTGAAATTTATGAATTTAAAGTTCAAGTAGTTAAAAATGAAATTATGCTTAGTTATACGAGTATTTGAAATAATGTTCACATTTAAATCATACTTAAGTACAACTTTAATAGTGAAAGAGTAAGTTAAAATACATGTTATAAATTGTATTTGAAAATTTCATAAACAAACACTAATTATCAAAGAAAGTGATTTATTTTTATTTTTTAAAAACAATTAATTTTTATGGGTGAGGTATATATATATATATGTTAAAAAAAAATAGTGATAATTTTGGGAGAGAAAAATAAAAATAGGAGATGACGTTTAATAGTTTAGGTAAAGGAGGGAAGAATATAAAATAGATACTAGTAATTGTTGTTTGAGAATCTTTAAATAGAATCAAGAGGGCAGGTAAGCAGAGAGAGCATTAGAATATGGATGGTGGGGACCATAGAGCAGCAAGTGTGCATCTTATTCTATTCTGTTTTGTAATAAAAGTTGGCTTCCGTCAGCAACGAATTTGTACTTTATATATACAGGGGCAGGGCTGCTCAACCCCACCCTTTTATTCATGGCCTTCTTTTTCAAAGTGAGTTTTTCATTCTTTCTTTCTTTCTTGTTGAGGATATGATGACTTTTGTTTTTTTTTAAATCTCTTTTCTGACATTAGAGTTTTGGATTTGGACCGTTCTTTTGGGATGGAAAATTATTAATGTATGTGTGTGTGGTCTGAAATGCATTTGTGATTGCAGTTGCAAAACTGATGATGTGTGTGGAACCTGGACTGATTGGGTTTTGGAAGACCAAGGAGTGGAAGTTCCTCTTCTTGTTTTTCATATTTAGGCTGCTTTTGTGTTCGTGAGTGATATGGAAGATTGATTGATTTATCATCATTAATATGGAAGATGCTGCCTTTACGCTCCATGACAACAACAATACTACTAGTGATTTTACTGAATTCCTCTCCGACGGATTCTGGCTAGAGACAACAACAACAACTACTACTGCTACTGATCAAGCTGGATCCAATTATTTCTCTCCTCACCCCCTTTTATTAGATACTACCACTAATCAAATGGATCCACCTACAACCCAATTGCCTCCTCCTAGGAGGTTATGGATTGGACCAAACACTCTCACTAACCCAAATCCTACTATACCAGTAAACACCAGATTGGTCCAGGCCATTGAATACCTAAAGAATTACACAACCCATAAAGATGTCCTCATTCAGATATGGGTCCCTGTCAACAGAGGAGGTAAACATGTACTTATTACTAATAATCAACCATACTTTCTCAACCCAAACTCCCACAGTCTATTAGAGTACAGAAATGTCTCTCAAACTTACCAATTTGCTGCTGAGAAAGATTCAAAGGAGTTGGTTGGCTTGCCTGGACGCGTCTTCTTGAAGAAGCAGCCCGAATGGACTCCTGATGTTCGTTTTTTCAAACGGGAGGAGTATCCACGAGTTAGGTATGCTCATCAGCATAATGTTAGTGGCTCCATTGCTATTCCTGTTTTTGAAAGTGGCAGTGGAACTTGCTTGGGTGTTGTTGAGATTGTAACAACTATTCAGAAAACTCCGGAGCTTGAAGATGTCTGCAAAGCTCTTGAGGTATTTCTTAATTGTATCCACTCGCGTCTTAAACTTAATTTCCTTTCTCTCAATACTTAGATTAGCATTATAAATTCATTTCCTGAATGTCTGCAATCATCTTCCAACTGTTTCTCATTTCTCCCTTGAACAAATTAAATGACATATGGTTCTAGTTCCCACAAATTTTACCTGGACTTTGAGGATTGTTAATATCATTGAGGTTTCATGTGACACTTGTGCTTGTAATGGAACTAATCATTAAATACTTCTTCACTACTTTGTCCCGTAATCGTCCATTCTACTGATTAAGGGGAGAAAATTAATCTTCTTTTTGAGTTCCAAATGGAATTGATGATTTTACTCGTCTTTGGTTGAACTATTATTCCTTAAGTTACCAACAAAAAGGACTCTAGCATCTGCTACTAATTTTGGGTACCTGTGATTCTCTGCTATGAGAATGAAGTGATTTAAAGAAGCTTTCTCTTTTTTTTTTTGGTCCTTGTAGGCTGTTAATCTAAGAAGTTCTCGTATCTCATCAAATCCTTCCAAAATCAAGGTAGATCAATAAATTTATCTTTCACTTTCTCATTAGGAGCTCCATAATCAGCTTCTGATACTGTAGTTATGATTCTATATCAGGATTGCAATGAGTCTTACCTATCTGTATTGGCCGAGATTCAATATATTTTGACATGTGTGTGTGATACACACAAGTTGCCATTGGCTCAGACTTGGGCCCCATGCATACAACAAGGTAAAGGTGGGTGCCTGCAATCTGATGAGAACTTTGCTTCCTGTGTTTCGACAGTCGACTCAGCTTGCTATGTGCGTGATCAACATGTGGTGCCTTTTCATTTAGCATGTTCTGAGCATCACTTGCTTAAAGGTGAAGGAGTTGCAGGTGGAGCATTCAATACAAACCAGCCATGTTTTGCTATGGATATTACGGCCTTTAGCAAGGCAGAATATCCATTGTCACACCACGCCAGGATAGTTGGATTATGTTCTGCTGTAGCAATACGCCTTCGAAGTATATTAACAGGGTCGGCTGACTTTGTCTTGGAGTTTTTCTTGCCACTTGATTGCAAGAATACTGAAGATCAAAAAATAATGCTAAGTTCACTGTCTTCTGTGATACAACAAAGTTGCCGAAGCTTACGTGTTGTCACGGATCAAGAATTACAGGAGGAAAAAGAACTCGTGCAACGTGAAAAGGTCAGCCTTTCCATTGGTGGATACCATGAAGAAGAATCAAGAAAACCAGTCTCTTCATCTTACAGGGATCAAGACGCTTCTTCCTGGCTTGCGGAAATGTTGGATGCCCAAAGAAAGGGTAAAGGAGCTGCTGCTGTTTCAGAAAATCACAATGATGAGCAAGAAGAAAACTTTAAGGTCACAGCAACCCCTTGGGATTACACTCTGAGGGAATCCATTCATGCATCTACATTCTCAGAGCCAAACCAAAATTTTGAACCCAAAGGAGGTTCTGGGGGTTCTTTTGATTTTTCTTCTGGTACAGGATCTCATTCCTCAGGTGCCAAGAGAGCAGGTGAAAGAAGACGGTCAAAAACCGAGAAGAGTATCAGTTTACAGGTACTCAGGCAGTACTTTGCTGGGAGTCTCAAAGATGCTGCCAAAAGTATTGGAGGTAGGATATGTTGCCTAAAACTATACAAGTCCATTCATTTTGTCTACAATGACTACTGTGAATTTGGAACTTTAGAAATATGCAATATCAGCCTTTCATGGCATGATGGACCGTTGGGTAACTATTAAAATGATGCATTGGAAATGCATGGACATTTTCAGTTCTCAGGAAAACTCCTGGAACTGCTCTTTTAGCTAAAATGACTCCATGCTCTAGAGTTTCAACTATTCTTTCAGACCAATTTTTGTATGATCATTCTTGATTAATCTCTTCTATTTTCTAGTTTGGAATCTTTCGGACATGCTCATACGATCCTTCCAGTTTTTCATCTTTTGCAGAGTTATTATCTTAAAATTTTAGATTATTTCTATATTTGTCTTTCTTACATTGTGGTGCACTGGTGGGAGTGCTTCATCCTTAATCTCTGGGTATGGAGAAAATCGCCACCCCCGAATGGGCCCTGCAGTGCGCGATTCGGATTTAGTCGGAGCTCCAATGTGGGCTCCGGACACCGGGTGGGAAAACAAAAAAAAAGAAGAAAAAGTATGTGCATCCATGATTTAGTTAATGCGAAGTCTCTTCTTTGTTTATACAGTCCTCTTCTTTACCTTTGAGGTCTCAAATTTGGTGTCTCCAGCACTATCATCTGATCTCGTCATTGATTACTTATCAATTTCTTGAAACTTGCAGTTTGCCCTACAACTTTGAAAAGAATATGCAGGCAACATGGAATCACCAGGTGGCCTTCTCGTAAGATCAAGAAAGTTGGCCACTCGTTACAGAAACTTCAACTTGTGATTGATTCAGTCCATGGTGCTGAAGGTGCAATTAAACTCAGTTCTTTCTACACCAACTTCCCTGAACTTAGCTCTCCAAATAATCCCGGGACCAGCAACTTCTCTGCTTCTAAAAACAATGATCATCTGCAGCAAGTAAATACTCAACCTGATGGCAGCCCTGTGACCACCACATCCAAGTCAACTTCTTCGTCTGGCAGTCATAACTCTAGCTCAAGTTTATTCTGTTCCACTGGTTCAAAGAACTTATTTCCTTGTACAAATGTCTTTTCCACAACGGAGGAAAATCCTGGAGGAATGCTAAAGAGAGCACATACAGAAACAGAATTGCATGATATGGGTCAAGAAGAAACCAAGCTTCTGGTCAGATTCACGAGTCAAAAGATCCAAAGCAATCACAATTCTGTGGAACCTCTGTGTCCTTTGCCAACGAGTAGCAATCAGGTCTTACGGGATTCAGGTACATTTAAAGTAAAAGCCATTTTTGGGAAGGAAAAAATCCGTTTCAGCCTGCAATCACACTGGGGTTTTGGAGATGTTAAGCACGAGGTGATGAGGCGTTTCAATGTAGAAGATGTAGGTAAAATCGACCTAAAGTATTTGGATGATGATGACGAATGGGTGCTTCTGACATGTGATGCTGATCTTGAGGAATGTATTGATATACATAAATTCTCTAAAAGGAGAACAATTAAAGTTTCCCTCCACCATACTTACCGTACCAATCTTGGAAGTTCATTTGGTAGCAGCGGCCCAGCCTAAGTGTTTCCAGATTTGGGGTATATGGAGGATTATTGGCAGTTGCATGCATGTAAGTAGAAAGAAGGGCTTATTTCACTTTCTTTCTTAGTGTTAATAGTTGATGCGGGAAGATGGCAGATCCATGGTCAATCCGCCACCCTAGCTACATGCAGTTATTTGACATTCTTGCTGATTGCACACTGCATACCCCATTGTATCGTCTTTTTATTTATTTATTTATATATATATCAATCAATGGGAATGTAATATAGAACATACAATTAAGAACCAGGTGAGATGGACGTTCAGTCATGCTGATTGGGGCACTTTGGCATGGTTCGAGGTGGAATAGTCTTCCATTTCACATTCAATGGGCTGCAGAGGATACCAGCGTAAATGTTTTGGATGATGTTTTTCAGTGTCTAATTATCTACTTTTTCTAAGTTCCAACCTTGTGTATTTAGTAGTTCCAGGAGACTAGACAAACTGATTTAATAGATAGATAGGTATTCAGTTTGTGTATCTTTCTGATTTAACGAAGAAGGAAATTCTGAGGAATGAGTTTTTTTAATAGTAATTTGGCAAAATGTTGTTGGGACATCCCAATTTTTTCATTTTTAACGTGATGGCTCGGTTTAGTTGAATTTTGATAAGATAATTTACTACGTTAAAATGAATAGCTGCTACTTACACCTAAGACATGAGGTAACATCTAACATGACGGTGATAAATATTGCAACCGCAACTATACTAGTATTGTCTTGGTAACACAATTGGGGCCGGGCTAGCTACCAATTCCCGAATCTCAGTCGCCCTTGTCCACCTTTTTTTTCCAAGTATATATATTTCAAAAGAAAGATTGCTCTTTAGCCATTTACTTGAAAACAAAAATGAATCCCCTATCCGCAGGTAATGTCCATTTTCATGCTCGAGTGCAGTTGCTGAATAGCAAACTGCAATTCATCAGACAAACAATGGTGGTTTTCTCCCGCAAGAAACCTGCAAGCCTTACCATTTACATACACTAAGCTATAGCCAGCTGTAACTTTGACCCCTCCTTCCTTAGCCAGCATTCTCATTTTAGTGGCATCAACCCATGAACGACCTGATGCATACATGTTTGATGCAAGCAGATAGCCAGCTGAACTTGACGGCTCAAGTTCAACTACTTGAGGGAGGGCAATGGCACCAAACTCATAGTTTTCATAGTTCCTACAAGCACTCAAGAGTGCCCCCCATGCACTTGCACCAGGCTTTAGTCCAACACCTAGCTTTCCTATCAAATTCATTGCACTATCAACCTTTCCAGCCCGAGCTAACAAATCTACAAGGCAAGAGTAATGTTCTATGCCAGGTTCAACCTCATGATCCCAAATCAACTCCTCAAAAAGAGAGAGCCCTTCTTCTACCAATCCCCCATGACTACAAGCCGATAAAAGAGATAATGCAGTAACTTGGTTTGGCCTCAGACCACAAACTTTCATCTCAGCAAGTAGGGATAGAGCTTCATTTGGGAGGCCAATCATACCATATGCTGCAATAATGGCACTCCAGGTCACAACATTCTTGTATGGAATCCGGTCAAACACTTTTCTTGAAGATCCAATAGAACCACATTTTGAGTACATATCTAAGATCGCAGTTCCCACTACCACATTAGATGCCAACCCTCCTCGAATAGCAATGCCATGAGCCCACCTTGATCTTTTCATATCTGCAGAAAGAGCGCAAGCTTCAAGAAGATTTAACATGGTAACAGCATTGGGCCGTTCAGAGGTGTGGCTCATCTCTCGGAAAACAGCAATTGCTTCGTCAGGCATGCCACAGTGGGTGAAGCCAGCAATCATGGTGCTCCAAGTTACTGCATCTCGTGTTGTCATATTATTAAATTGACTCCATGCATAAGTTATGAGATTGCAACTTGCATATGCATCGATCAAAGAGTTTGTAACCAACTCATTCAACTCAAAACCTTGTCGAAGTATTCTGGAATGTATCAACTTGCACTGGCAAGGGTCAAGGAAGAACTTACATAACTGCAGCAGATTGACCAGAGTCACCTCATCAGATTCAACTCCAGCCTTGCGCATCGAATCAAATAAAGTAAGGGCCTCAGAATGCATCTCATTCTGCACAAGTCCAGACAACAAAGAGTTCCAGGACACGACATTCTTCTCAGGAATTCCCCGGAAAACTCTCAATGAAGAATCAATGTCATTGCATTTAGAATACAAGTCGATCAGAGAGTTGTATACGAACAAATCATAACCCAGACCTCTAGAGATAACTAATCCGTGAATTGACTCTCCCATTCTAATGGCCTTCAATTTGGTGCAGGCTTTGAGTACACTTACCACAGATTGTCCGTCTGGTGGTTTCCCAAAGTCAATCATCCGTTGAAAAAACTCCAGGGAAAGCACTGTTTCGTCCGCACTTTGGGCATAGGCAGCAATCATGACACTCCAAGAAATAACGTCTCTTTCAGTCATTTCATCAAAAAGGTTGTGCGCAAGGTGCATTCCGAATTGAGCATAGAAACTGAGGAGCGAGTTGTGGATGGAAGTAATACTTGAATACCCAGCACGAAGAGTAGAAGCATGGATCGTCCGGCCAGCCTCAAAAGCTGTAAGATTGCGACAAGCCTGAATGACAAGTACAAAAGTGGAGATGTTGGGTTCAAAACCTGCAGCCCAAGCCTGAGTGAAGAAGCATAATCCTTGGGGAGAAGCATCTCGCTCTAATAAGTGGCCATGAATGATTACATTCCAGGAAACTGAATCTTTGTTGTCCATGCAGTTAAAAACAACAAGCGCAGAACCCAAGTCTCCAGATTTAGCATAGAAGTCCATCATAGAATTACCGACGGAGGTGAAAGCTAAGAATCCCTGCTTAACCAGAGAGGCGTGGATAGAGTTGCCGCTGTGGCCGTGTGTAGCGGAGAGATTTAAACATGCTTTGAAAAGGATAGGGAAAACGGAATGGTCCGGCAACTCAACCCCGGTCTTGTTCAATTCACGGTAGTGGAGAAGAACGTCTTGAGATTTGCCATGACATAGTAATTCTCTTAACCTACTACACCAGTTAGAGTTCCAACGGACACGCATTTAGTGTTTACTTAGACAGAGATAGGCTGATGATCTCTTTCAACTTCTATGCAATATTATTATGATCATAACTCACTGTACTACTCTACTCTTGTTATCTTATACTATACAGTATATATATTGTATTTTATATTGTTTAATAGGCATGGGATAAACAAGTTTGGCAATGGTTCAATCATAATTTTAATCCAAACTTTGAGGTCTGTTTAGCTTTACACACAGGAATGTCTGTCAAGTGAAGGTAAGCACAAAGGATCTACAAGTTATTTCTGATGGTCAATATGAAACAGCCAAAACAGTCTAAAATGGACAAACAACCATATGCATCATCCTTCTCAAGTTATAGCCACTAATTTGTTAGCTGTCGAAAAACAAGTACACCCATACAACATCATTAGGTACTCTGTTGCTTGCCCATGCTCTCCCAAAATTTCTTGATACCAGAAACTTCAAGATTGACTATAGTAAGATTTTTTCCCCCTTTTCCGATAGCGCAAGGGGTAAGAGAAACTGATTATAAGCAAAACTAACTTGCAAAAACATGAATTTACTATTCCCTGATGTTACAAAGTTGAAGGTATGAATTATTGAACATTACATATCTAGACCAATAAGCTTTGTACTTGGCAATTGCAAGATCCAACCATGGTTTGTAATTTCCATTGTAGTGAACAACTGCCCCATTTTGTATTTCTGTTTTGTTCAAGGCGGGATCATAGCCAAGACCCAAGACATGCCAGCTCCGATCCAAAGGATGAGTCAAGTTATAGAAAGTTATTAACCCTGGAGGTAAGGTGCCAAGTTTCCAAAGTGTTCTATCCTCATTCTGCAACGGAAAACATAGTCAGCTGAAAGACCACACAAGGATGAAGATTTTCTTAAAATAGCAAATGACTTTTCTCCTCTAACAGAAGTACTCCTGGACATCAAATGCATTACTACTCTTTGCAAGAGCGAAGCTTGCTATGGAAGACTGACTTTTTAAGGCTAGCCCTTTCCAGGTTCAGGAGCAATTTTTGGAAGAAAATCAACTGAATTTCCTCACTTCTCAAATCAAGAGGTCAAGGGAGTAGATAGATGCATTCTAGACATGGTAGATCATAGAAAGAGTTGCAAAAAGCCTGTTAAGTAGGCAATCATTCATTTTTCTAGAAGATTGAAATAAAGCTCAACGGAAAATGAGCAATCATGCATAGGGTATGCAACTTTTCCTTTTATGGGGTGAGGAGGCACTAAGAATAACAAGAGCTGCAACCTTGCAACCTAATACAACTATACAATACGATGTTTCTCCAAAACTAGAAATAGGGGTCACAATTGATATAGCTCTTATCATCAATGTACCATTTCATCACCTCTACTCAAAACCTAAACAAGTCATTGTAATGTCCAGGAGACATCATTGATGTCATACAGCCTTCTTGTCTTCCATTTTATATTATTATCCACCTTCTAATTTCCCATTATTCTATTATCTGGGATCCACCATCATTTTGAAGACTAAACAATGCCCAAATTTGAAAAAAGTCAAATTCTATCTCCACTTATGAACCCATTTACTCAAATGTAAACTTCAACTAGTACCTTAAAAATCATGCCTGAGACACCAATACCAGGAGGTAGGAAGTACATTTCCTGGCAAATTTTGGCACTTCAGTTTGATTCCATAACATCTATCTACACTCAAGCAAACGATGGTACTTACAGCAATAACTCAAGGTTTCATTCCCATCAGTCTTCTAAAAATACTTCCATTTAATTCTTTGTTTTTCATGATCATGGATCGTTTGGTACGCGGGAAGGGATAATCAAGGATATCCCACCTTCTATATGGGATATTAATCACACCATTTTAGTACAAATAATGGGATTAAATTATCCCGGGTTTAGCTAATACTTCAAACCAAACATGGAATAAAGTTAATCCCAAATTTTATCCTGGGTTTATTATCATTAACCCACATACCAAACGACCCCTAAGCACATTTATTTTCAATAGTAGTTCCATAGTTCAGATTTTTTATCTGCAGCCTTTTCACCTTATTTGACCATCCAAAGCAGCAGCATCTTTATTTATATAAAATCTAGTTTAGTGCACTAATGTCTTAATTTTCAGTAAAATCATATAAACTTGATTAATTAAAACTAAAATGGACATCAAGGCAATGCCTTTCTAGCCTTATAGCCACCCCCGTAGCAGGTCCTCTTAAACTCGTGAAAACCTATATGAAATTGGGGGAGATGTGTTTGATGGCCCATCGCAAATGTTCTTTTTTATAGCTATATGGCCCTTTTATAACATAAGACATCGGTAAATAAAATGCATAATATCTTTGTAGGGTCATTTTCTTCTATACAAACTGTAATTGGCCATAGGAGATCATTTCCTCGTAAAATTGTGCTGAGTTCATGTCATGGAAAACAAATGAAGAAGAAATTGTGAAAGATTCATGATGATAATATAAAAGAATTCAGATAATTGTGATTAGAAGCACCAACTTAAGAATATGTAATATTAACTTACCCTTTCTTGCCAATAATGATATATTCCTGTAATGTTGCGCCTCCTCCACTCCTTCAAATCAAAGACATTCATGCCAAAAGCCCATCCACAGGCATTTGGATCAAAGTTTTCAGATATCTTCGGGTTAGAAAAGTTAAGATATTTATCAAATCTATGGAAGCTTTCTTTGCATGTCTCCACGGCACCATTGACCATCCCTTGTAGGTTGACAGACCAAAGAGGTGTCAGATCCTTCTGAACTACAATATCATCATCCAGAAATAAGATTTTCTCCAGCTTTGGATATACTTCAGGAAGGTAAAACCTAAGATGATTCAGCATTGACAAATACTTTGGGTTCCTATATTTAAGATTGTCGGTGCCAGATGTAAGGGAGTTCGACTGATGTGCCTTGAAATAATACTCTATCATTCTAGCAGATTCAAGCTGACGTAGTACAGGGCAGTAAGTAGAATTTAGCCATGTAAAGTCATCGACATTCTCAACGTGAATTGTTGCAGCAGCAGGAGGATTGACAAGGAACCACATTTTCATAGCTGGGAAGTTCAATTTATCTGTCACTATATGGAAAACGTGCTTTTCAGGCTCCTTCGCATGCAGTATAGTAGAGTTTACAACAACAGATGTGGCAAGTACATTATCAGAAAATATTGCATAATGGAACAGAGAAGGATCTTCAAGCTTTTCCTTGTTCGGAAATTCTCTCTCTTCATATCGACGTATAAAGAAGTCTGTCGTGAGAAGCAAAGGAAGACAATGCAAAGGCCTGGGAACAGTTTTAGCAGCCAGCTGTATCAAGAATGCACTCCTTTTCTTCAGCATATTTAGACCAGTTTCGGCCGACTGAAGCATGACTCTTAGTTTCCTTGCTAGTGTCATGCAATCGTATAGTTGATCCTTTGCAGCAGCTAAAACATGGCCCATATCCTTTGCTCGGTCAAGTGCACTGTAGATAAACCCAATATTAGAGACAAAACCTAACATCTAAACTTCAATAACAAAAACTGGAAAGCACCAACCTTGGTTGAAGTTCAGAATCAGAAGTGGCTTCTCCAATTGCAAGCTGGCTTTCTCTAGAATGATTTATCAAAGAATCATACAGAGAATCTTCATTCTTAGCTTTTGCAATGGTAGCATACGCTCTTGCCATGATGATTTGGTCACGCATAAGTTTAAGGGTAGAGTCAGCATTAGGGTTTTCATATTCTTTCCTCCATATATTGTATTTACCCTTGCTAGTTGTGTCAAGCTCTTTAGCTCGCTCAACAGCAGCGTCTTGAATTTGGTTTTCAATTTCCTTATCTTGTTCGATCAGCTCTGCAGTCCGCCATTCCCTTCTTTCGTTTCTTAGCCTCTGAAGAACCAGGAAGTATCTATGAATTCAAATGACTGAAAAGGCACATACATGACAAATGTGGAGATATAAGATTAGCCACCTGGCGCTTGAGTTTGATTGGATGCAGCTCAGATGCTGATTTATGCTCCACAACAACTCCATACTGATTTTTGTTTCCATTAGAGTGATCAATAGTGCCCTCAAGTTTATCCGGTTTCTGAGACTTCCCTTCCACTTCCTGTGAACAAGCAGTAAACAGAAGTTGCAGTCTACATCAACAAATTCAAAACTACTATATCCTCATCATTTCAAAGTGTTTTGTCCATTTAATATCACCAAGTAGAGGAATTGTGGAAGTTTGAGAACTGGTCGGTAAACACAGACCTTGGAACTCTTCTTGTGATCACCATCCTCATCACTAGGATACCTCCATACCCATGAAGTTGACAAGTCCTTGGAGTTTATGCTCCTAGTTCTAACAGCACCATTAGCATCAGTATATGTTACAAGGATGTCAATATTCTGCATTAAGAGCAGAAGATCATCATAATATGGTATATATAGATTAAAAGTAAATAAATCTAAAGCAGAAAAGAATTTTCTAGTCATTATATACTGTTTCTATGAAATCAAAACCAGTTGATTACTTTCTCATCAGGACGAGCAGCACTAATTCGACCATGTTCCTGCAAAGAAATTTCAGAGTTAATGTCATATAAGGCAAATGGGATGCAAAAATCTTATGAGATATAGATAATGGCTTTCAAATCAACTAAATAAACTCTCATTATTCAACATTCAAGTAATCATATTGAGAGCCAAGTGCACAATTTTCTGGTCCCTTTTCCTAGCATTATATCAACATTTCTACAAATGCAATGTTAGGAAATTTAAGCTGTGTCAAAAGAGAAAGAAAAAGACAACTCCAATTAAAAGCTAGGTCAACAAAAAAACACTTTCCTAATTTACATTTAAGAAATAAAAGATCATCCAAGTATATCATCAGATAGTGATGTTTGAATTCTTTCTCTGAGAAAGGGATAATTACTGCACAGCTAATAAAGTACTGGTTGTAACACAACCAGATTTTCAATATAACAAAAACAAGATAGGTGATGCAGATCTCCAGGATCAGCATAGCTTGAACTGGCACCAAAAAAGTTGCCTAAACAATTACCAGATTTCAGAGGATGAACTCAATATAGGAACTCTAGTTTTGTGCTATAAGAGCAGATGGTGTAACAATATTCTGCAGTTTTATTGGGACATTTTCATGGATTTGAGGCGGATAAAGATGTTCAATATATAGGAATTTCACATGGTAGAAGCATGACTGACACATAGAAACAAAGAGAAGTATTATTAACCTTTCTATTAATGCATTGCGGACAATCATATGAGGGGAAAAGACCTTTCAGCTCTCCCCGACTGAAAATAGGAGGAAGAGAAGTCAGGTAACATTGATTAGTTGCAGCAGCAAAATTTACAAAGTATAGAGAAGGAGTGATCTTACAGTGATGATACATTTGACAATTCTACTGGGGAAGGTGCAACCTGAATAAAAATGAGAACAAAGAGCTAAAGTGAAGCTCCAATAATATAATTTTGAATAAAAAACAAGGACAACAACAATATCGGTAAACCTCTTTCAAAATTACGAGATCCAGGGCGACACTAACACGATTAGTGAATAGAGACTCAGGAAGAAAGAGAAGACCAATTAGATGCGCAACGATATTATTCAGAGAGAAAGATTTACCTGGAAGAAGAAGAAGAAGAAGATTAGCAAGGTAGGGGAGATGAACGATCCTTTAAAACGAGCCTCCATGGCCAACCAAAATTAGAAAGAAGAGACCTCTGACAGTGGGATCAATTATATTAGTATTGCGCCATTTTTGTGCATTCAACCTCAACTCAGCTTGGGCCTTGGCAGATGAACAACTTTCTCTTCTTTTTTTTGTCAATTTTTTAAGAGGGGGACAAATTTCTGCATTTTAGCCTAAGAGGGAACCAATTTTTACATTTTGCCATAATATTCCACTTTCGGCAACAATATTCCATTCTCGTCCTTCACGTAATTCAACTCTCCTATTGCTCAGTAAGAGTACTAATACAAATTAGTTCAAAATTAGTTAGTTTGAAGCAGAAGGCAGCTCAAACATGGTCAAAATCGAATGGCTACCCTAATTTTTTTTTTTTAAAAAATAATAGTATTTTTTAAAAATTTGTTGAGATGCAAAATTGCATATAATTTTTTTATAATTGATTTCTTTATTCATTAGATTTGACAAGCTTTTTTTAATATTTTTTTTCTTTTATGCGAAAAGTTTACTTTTTCTAACAAGAGTATTCAATATATTTATTTTTTTGAAAAAATCATAATCTATCATTTCTAAATAATAATAATAATAATAAAAAATAATAATAAAGCCCCTCAAATTTAAGTGTGCAAGAGCCTTGCAGTTTTTTCTAACCTTGTAGTTGTAGAGAGCCGGCATTGAATACACTATTCACGTTATTGCTAAAATATTGCTACTTAAAAAAATCTTTTTGTATCCTTTAGTAGGTTAAGGTTAATTTATTTGTAGTGCTTTTCATGTTATTGCTAAAATAGTGCTACTTATTAATTCTCTCTTATATCCTTTAGTAGGTTAAGGTCGACTTATCAGTTATTTGTAGCATTTTTCATGTTATTACTATTTGCTATTTTCGAATTATAATAAATTATTTGTAGGTTAACATCTTTATTGTAATGACCGAAGAATATAAAATCTAGATTTGTTTTGGTATACATAAATAATTTGAATTTAGTCAAACATCAAACATGAGTAATTTGAATTTAGTCAAACATCAAACATGAGTAATGTATTGAAGTGCTGATATTGTACATATGAATTAAACATTTAGAAAGTTCTTTGACAAATAATAATATGAACTGTCCATCTAAGTTATCTCAAATGCATACAATCGGATAATTTTGTATAGCATAACGCCACAAAAAGAATATGCAAGTCCTGATTACTTCACTACAACACCCCCTTTAGGATTCTGTTGGATGCCTAAATTCTTTCACAATATTTTATCTAAAAGTTAATTGTATGTTAAAATAAATAAATTACTTTTTGCGAAAGAGGTAACTTGGAATGCCACCTAAATTGAGAAAAATAAAAAAAGAACATATCAAAGAGAAACCAGAGATGGATCCATGAAGCAGAGATTAGAATAGAGATGGTGATTCTAGGAATACATATATCTCAAAATTAGAGATGCATCAACTCTGTGTGCAGTGCAGGTGTTGATTATCTGCTTCCAGTTTCTAACTTCTCATCACCAGGCACACTATCATGCATACTCAACCATATCCATAACACAGGGGACTGGAAGTCTTGAATCTCCTTCAATGTACAAAATAATGAACTCTTTACATATATCACTGAAACAAGCACAACCCAATGCCATACAGAGCCTTGACACTTCATCTCACAAGCTCAGACGTCAGGCAACCAAAAAAAAACAAACAGACAACATTTGTATTTGGACAACTAAGTTAACATAGCTATATAGTATTATCATATTCATGATGCTCTTCTTGGGAGTGGATAGGCTCGATTTACATCGTTCCTTGGATGAAGTGGAGAACGATGGTGCAAAGGTGGCTGACCGTATCTATAAGCAGTCTGATGTCTGGATGTTATTCTAGGCTCCTTGGGTCTTTCGTTGGCTGCCTCAATCTGTTCTAGTTTCTCCACTACTTCTTTCATTCCTGGTCTGGTTTTAGGTTCAGGTCCAAGACATGACAGTGCCAGTTGTGCTATTTGAACTGCAGCTCTGGATGGATATCTTCCTTCCAGCCGCGAATCCATCTTGTCCTTCAACTTCCTTCTATCAGATAAATGTGGCTTAATCCATTCAACCAGATTATGCTGATTGCTTGGGCGGTTTGTGTCTAGTGCCCGTAGAGCTGTTAGCATTTCCACTAACACAACACCAAAACCATACACATCGCTTTTCACGTACAAGTGTCCTGTCAAAAAATGACGATACAAGTATGAACATACATTTACTCGGATTTGACTGTATATATGTTTGAGCATGTAAGCACAAGATGTGATTCCAGAGAAGTATAACTACCAAGTATAGAAGCCTAATGGACACTAAGTTTACCTGTTTGAACATACTCAGGAGCAGCATAACCATACGTTCCCATCACCCGTGTTGTCACATGTGATTGACTAGCCGAAGGACCGAGTTTGGCCAAGCCAAAATCTGATATCTTTGCATTGTAAGACTGAAATCAAAAGGAATTAAAGAATGTCATGTAATCAGTAACAACCTTTTCCCTAATGTTCTCATTGTTATAGGTCAGCTAGTAAGGTTTTGTCACTCTGAGATCAAGATCTCAAAACTTAAGGCAAAACATTAAGTCAACCACAAAGGTGCTCAGGGTTTGTGGTGAATGAAATAATCAACTGGGATCAATTTGTGATCTCTCTATTACTTGTGATAAGAACCTACACGACAATGTTCCAGGGGAAAAGAAAAAGAAACATACGCCATCAAGTAATATATTTGAGGCCTTGAAGTCTCTGTAAATGACTTGCTTCTCTGATGCATGTAGGAATGCCAAGCCTCGGGCTGCACCGATCACTATTTGAAGCCTTATATTCCATGGAAGTGGCTGAACAGCAGAGCCCCCTGAGCAAACCGAAGAGAACAAATATGTTTAGGTGGAGGAACATTCCTAACTGATTTATTCTAGAAAATCCTATATATCATTGAGAGTATATAGCTCATCTCTTACTTCCAAAAAGATGGTTCTCCAAGCTGCCCTTTTGCATAAACTCATAGACAAGCAATAGTTCTTTATCTTCCCAGCAGTATCCCAAGAGTTTGACCAGGTTAGGATGTGAAAGTGTTCCAAGAAAATTAACCTCACACTGCATAAACAAATGAAATGAAATACACAAAGAGCCTTGGGAAAAAAGAAGAAGAGCATCTATACGAGCAATAAAACTAATTTTAACTTGTAATAGTTCCTAGTCTAGTCAATGACGAACAAAAACTGAGTGAAATTTAGTAGAAAGCAATAGCTTGTGCTCGAAAGTTGTTGATAGTAATCAATCAACTAAAGTTAGCAGAAGACCCACGTTCCAATATATATGGATAAAAAAGCTGTCTGGGCAAATGAGAAAGTAGAAAGGTGTTTTAGAAACACATCCTCTGCATAACAAAAGCAAGACTCTGAACAAAGATGGTAGACAATCCATCCAAACTCAAACTTAATCTATTTGTGGAGAAGGAGAATATATAATTGAAATTTACCTGCCACTCTTCAAGTCCTTGTAAACTTTCAGAATTCAATTTCTTAACAGCAATGACAGTGCCAGTGCCACTAGCAGTCCTGGATGAAGCCCTGTCATCAAGCCAACCCTTGTAAACTTTGCCAAAACCGCCTTCTCCCAGGACGGTATCACTTCTAAAATTTCTTGTAGCGGTCTTGAGTTCGGTAAAAGAAAATGTCCTTAAATTAGGATGCGGTAATATCTGTCCCCCATTTGGATACACCTCATCAACTCCTCCGCCGCTGGCTGCTGAGAATTGGCTATTCCCGGAGACGTTGCTTACAGTTGAGGAGGATGTCGTGTTGCTCGTCGTCTGTGATATGCCTACAAGATATAATAATTTCGATGCAGAAGCACAAGTTAAGAAAGTTATTCGGAATCCGAATAAATAAATCAAGTTGGTACCTGAGCTGAAATGGGCAGTGGTAGATGGGCTTTGATTATTAGAACTGAAACAAACTCCCATATCTCTGATCTCGCATACGTTTTTCTCCAGTAGAAAGAAAGAAAGAAAGATGGGATGGGATGAGATTGAGATCTCTTCTATTCTATTCTATTCTATTTGCAGCTTCTGCCTCCTCATCAATCGATTGTTTGACTTGACTCAAATTTCATTTTTAATTTTCTATTCAATCAACACTCCTAGTCGTAGTTGGTTGTTGTAAACTTTCAACTATGACTTAGTCTTTTCCGCCTCATTCATATCTTACCATTCCATCCCTACTACTTTCAATCATTTCCCTTTTATTTATAACAAACAACACAAACATATTCTACTTACTAATTGGTTTCATTCTCATCTTGTAATTCATTCCCATAATTCTCATATACTATTAAATTTAAAAATTCTCTTTTACCTTGGGCGTTAAAATTCTATTACATTATTTTAATATGACAAAAATAGCATAGTAATTTTACAGTTAAAGTTGGTAATATGATAAAGATAGTTGTGTAACCTCGTAGATTTAACATTTTGGGAAAGGGTATAGTCCGTCACACAAAGCAAAATCTGTGAGATTGGAGTCCAATTATTCTCTACATAATTTTAGCCTACCCTGAAATTGTTTCTTTATTAATCATCTTTCACAAAAGAAAAAAAAATAGGAATAATGTTTTATGTTTATGTTGTCTGAAAGGAGAACATTATGCCATATTTAATTGCATAAGTTCAATGTGACCAATTTTCCTACACCTTCAACCCTGACGCGGTTTTGGCCTCTTATTTCATTTTGATGCCAAGTCAAACATATACATTATTTAAATTTGGACAAAAGGAATTCTTTAAAGTTAATTTCCACTATGTATATTCTGAGAAAATTTTATCAATGTCATTTTTTATTCCCTTCCAACTATAATTTTTATGTCTTACAAAATAATATTCATAACAAAAACCTTTTTCTCTAAGTAGATTTTTTAGTTGACAACTTGATATTATTTTAAATTTTTATTTTTAATGTTATGTAAGATAAAACCTAGGCTAATTTTAGATACACAAAAAAAATAAAATTTAGTCACTTAGTTTTAAGTATATCAACCAAAGATGCTATCTCGTCGTTAATAAGAAATGGATCCAAATTTTAAAGTACTGCAAAGAGGTAATTTGTATTTATGTGTGTTATATGAATTAGTTTAAGTGCTCTTGTCAATTAATTATTCCAGAAAAAAAAAACATAATTTCATTTGCAATATTATTTATCCAAGCATCTAATAGTTGAATCATTTGATTAGTAGGAATATAAAAGTCCATCCTCAAAATTAACAAGAATCTATATTTTCTATACTCAAATTAATTAATCATCCTCATTAGATAATAAGACTTCATTAATTCAATATGATTGAAGACTTAGATTAATATAAAACTAAATGGGTAGATTCATTAATATTTTTATGGCCAAAATTAGTCTACATGAGATGAAAAATAAAAAAGTTAGTATGTCATGAGATGCTAATTTAAATTTAAAAGAAAATAAAAGACTCCTTATAGAAAATGTCATAAATGAAAGGAGTATAATTTGGCACCTCATTTGTATTTATATATTAGAAAATATAAGAACTAAATGCGTAATAGAGAAATGGCAAGTCGAGTCAAAGGACGAGGGCGGAGATCGTCAAAAATCAAAATAGAGAAGCTAGCTAACTCCCATCAATAGACAATAAAATACTATTAAATGCAATAGATGTCTCACTTGTTTTCAAGGAAATTTAGTCAAAGTCCACCATGCCCGGTCTCTTCCTTATATACCATTTTAATTATTTAACTTTACGTCTATAATGTTAATTTGACTTGGGCCTCATTTTGTTATGTGCATTTACACTGTTAACAACTTTAGGACCTTCAAATTCCAACCTTTCATAGCGTATAATCAATTTTTTAACTTAAATAATAGCATCACATAAATTGAGACAAAGAATATATATTGAAATGAAATTTTTAAAAAAATATTATTATATTAATTGAAACTTGAAGTTGTGTTTGAACATAAAAATTAGTATTTAAAGTTTTGTAAATGAGAATATTAAAAAGAAAAGAAGTCGTAGTTTTTTCAAAATTTAAAATTACATATATAGTATTCAAGTATGAAATTGAAATAGGAAAGAGGAAAGAAAGGCGTCGTTGAATTTTTATTTCTTACGGGAAAGATGGAAGACGAAACACTTGTTTGGTGTGAAGAGTTTTCTGGTGATACAAAAGAACGTCAGGTAAACTCAATCTTTTTTTTCTTCTATGTGTGTGAAATAATAATAATTAAATAAAAAAAGGTAGATGTGTATTTTGAGCATGTTAATTTGCCCAATGTGAATTAATATACTTTTCCACGAATTTGGGCCCTATCAGATATTTTGCTCATGGGTAAGCTTAGACTTGTATATCATCATCATCATGCATACGCTTTCTAGCAAATTCAACAATCAAAACTATCTACTTTTCCTTTACTAAACATCTCTATTTCTCTAAAATAGTTTTTGCAATATATAATATATGATCAAATTAATTATTTTTATTCCATTCATTTCTCCAAAATTCAAATTCATTTTTGATTTTTCATTTCGGAAATTTATTTGTTCTACATATACATCAGATTAAAAGACTCATTTTTTGAGGGGGAAAAACAAAACAAAGAGAGAGATTGATAATCTAAAAAGTAAAATAGAGATACACATAAAAATTAATTAAAATAGGAAGTAGAAAATCATGTCTATTAATTAATAAAAAAAAATTAAGTAATTGGTTTTTTTGGTCGAACAAGGATACATGTATTAAGTAATTGTTTTATATATACTAGTACTAGTCTACAAGGGTGGTTCAATGCCTTTAAAGATGAGGCTAGAGCCGTCAAAAAGGGCTTAGCTAATGGGGTCGACCCGACCCAACTCGTTATTGGGGTAGGGTTGGATAGTATTTTATAAGCCTGTTTAAAACTGGGGCTTATAAGCCCAACCCTTTTAGGCCCTTAGCTCTTGAGGTTTGATTGGGGCCGGGCTGGGGTCGGCCCATGGGCTAAATTATTTAATTTTAATTAAAATAAATATTAAAAAAATAAGAATAAAAAACTAGAAAACCTAAATAAGTGTTTGTGAAGTTTTTCTAAGGAGCTTACATGAATTTCTTTATTATTTAGTTTTGAATATAAGACTTGGATAGTAGACACTATTTAATATTATATGTGATAGAATATTTTATGGCTTGAACAATTAATTAGTTTCTTGATTTCATTTAACAAAATACTTTAAGTAATTATGTATTGCTAACTAAAGTTTTAGTCAGAAGTGTTCTTTAGTTTACTAGTTTGTTTTTCAGATATTATTTACTTAAGAGATTATTATTTTTTTCTTTAAATATTTATTGCTAAGATTTTATTTAGAATTATTGAAACAATGTTACTGTTTGTGACATTGATTTGACATATAAAAAAAAGGACCGGCCCGCCTCAGCCCTTGACCCTTCTGGGGTTGGGCCAGGTTGACCATTTTACAGCCCTTTGAAATGAAGGCCCGGCACGCCCCCGCCCATCAAATTCTTTGGCCCGTGAGGCTTGGGCAGGGTAGGGTTGGGCTGGCCCGTTTTGACAGCTCTAGATGAGGCATATGCCTTAGGCCCCCAAAATCGAAGGGCCTAATTTTTTAGTAATAATAAAATTATTTTAAACTTTTTTTAACCAAAAAAAATAAGAATGTTTTAATTTGTTTTGAAACATTAAAGAATGTTTCTTTTTTATGGATCAATTTTTAAATTTAACTTCCACATGATATGTTTAAGATCACAAGATTAAAAAATATTTTGGTATATATATATCTTTAGTTTAAGATCATAAAAAATAAGACTTCTTTTATTAAAAAGAAAGAAATAACTTGAATCTCAGATATAAAAAAATAATTAAAATTTAGGCCTCCAACTTATTTTTGGCTTTAGGCCACTAATTAACTTGAGCCGCCACTGCTAGTCTAGTATAAATGATTTTCACAAAATTTCAGTGTTATACAACAATGATCCATCTGTCCTACTCCAACGTGAAACAACATAACTCGACAGACGGACACTTCACACAAATATATTAACTCCTAACTATGCTTGGTCGGTTTTATTTGAGCATGAGCCCAGTTTTTGTGCATTCTGATGTTAATAAAATAATAGTAGTATTAGACTGGTAAATATATTATCAATTGTACAATCACAAATATTACTTCCTTGCTAGAGGGATGTAATTGATGTGTGCTAGGGATAAATCGTTTCTTTGTTTCTTTCACTCTTGAAAGCAACAAAGGAACAACAAGAAAGAAACAATATTATGTTAGATAAAGCATAGTAAACATTCCTCAACTAATAAATACAATAGTTTGATTGGGAATCAATACTATGATCATAGCTTGTTTTCTTGGGCAAATGTAAGCACACAATTCCATTGTGGGACTGCTGGCAATGCAAGAATCAAAATGTACTAGTGTGTTGCCATCTATGATTAAGAACACTATTATTTTCTAAAATCTTGACCAAATCTTAATATATTAAAAATTAAATCTTGTTTAAATTTATACTATTTTTGTTATTGTACGATACTCACACATGTCACTCGTTTCTAACCATTTTTTTTAACTACTCTGCACAAAGGCAATCTGGAAGGACTCCTTCCTTCCTTGGATTTTTAATGGAAATGAGTGAATCTATAGGCTAGAGGAAGACTTATGATGAAAGGTAGTTGTATATATGAATGACATTTTCACAAGTAAATTCATTTGAAATCTCATCCCGAACAAATTTGCATTTGAAATCTCATCCCGAACAAATTTGCAGTAACCGAGATCATTAATAATGACAAATAACATTTTCACAAGTGAGTTCATTTAAAATGTTTGAGATCTCATCCCGAACGAATTTTGTGATGTCAAAACACTCTATAAATTAATAAATAATTTATCAATTAAATAATACATCTACAAAATAATAATATTTTATATTCCCATCAGTATGAATTTAGTGAGTGAGGTTTTAATGTGTATATATTATGAGTTTGATGACCCACCTTATTAGATGGTTAATGATAAATGAACTAATTTGGAAATACATACATAATAATTTCTTAACTCTGTAGCATCTCATAATTATTACTCAATAATTTGGAGAAAAGAGAGTTTTGAGCTCAATTTGCTGTCCCAGCGAGTGTAGGGTTGACCGGACAATTTTCCATCAAGTTATGTTGCATGGTTTTGTCTACGACTCTACGTGCAAATATAATCTAATACTATATATATAGAGAGAGAGTGTCTTGTTGCATCTCCAAAGTCTAATTATATGTACCAACAACTTCAATTTTGCCATGAATGGCTTATTACTTATTGCATATTCATTCATAATAAATTGCCAATCGATGGAACTTCATATCTACATACATGAACATGACAAAAAAACGATACTGATTTATTTAAAATGGATGAGAGAGAGGATATAGTCCTAATAATTAATTTAGGAAAGGTAAGCATATATATGACGTATATGATGCATGCAGGTACGTAATAGCTAGGGAGTAATTAGTAATTAAGTTTAAGCGGCACAGGTGGGACAGGCGCAGCCAGGACCGCACTTGCAGTTGGCCTTTCCAGTAGCGGCTTCACTCTTTGGACATGTGCAAGGATTGCACCCACAGTGCTCTCCACATGAGCATCTCTTGTGCTCCATGCTTGCATCCGACGATGCGCACCTGCATAAATCCTTACTAATTAATTAATTATATTGATGATGGCACTCTCAAATTTTAGCATCAACAATATGTACCTGCAAGAGATTCCGCCGGGGCATGGAGAAGGACAACCACACCTTTCATTGCATGTACCACAACTTCCTCTTACATCAGCCATACCTGCAATGGATCGGATCCATTGTCAAAATTAATTAAACGGAAACAATAAAACTGCAACAAATTAAGGGCAACATCCCACCTACACAATATTAGTTAGTTGATGAGATAAAGAGAGCATGGCGTCTTTCTCTTATATATTGAGTGAAGCAGCTCCACCTGCACGACACCTGCCTATTACGTGTCAACCTGCCCGCCCACTTCTCTTTCTCTTTTGCCACCTTCAACTAATACCTACTTACTATAAAAATATAATACTTTGAGTACCTAGCTTCTTATAACCCATCATCAAAATAAACTAGTGCTCCCTCTTTCCTAACCTACTTAATTTGATGAACTTTTTATTATTAAAATAAACCATTATTAAAATCTATTTATCAAAAATAATATATATTTTTAAATTTTTACATAGTATAAATGCATTTTGCAATAATGTTTTGGGTTATATTTATTTTTAAAAAATCAATAACAAAAAAATGACGGAGTAAACAGACATACCGTTTTATAATTTGTTACTCTGAGCACGTTTTATAGCTAAAACATCACTCACAGTAACTTTTCTTTGAAATAGCTAAAAACAATGGATATATATTTTTTGTTCATCTATTTACTTGAAATATATATGATTTTCTCGTTTCTTCTCTTTTCATACATAAATAATACTCCCTCCGTTTCAAAAAGAGTGGTTTAGTTTGACTTGACATGGGATTTCAGAAAATAAAGAAGACTTTTAAATCTTGTGGTCCTAAATTAAAGTTATGTCAAATGTATTAAATTGTCCTTTAATCTTGTGGTCTTAAACATGTCACGTAGAAAATTGAAATTAAAATATTACCAAAAAAAGAAAAAAAATCATCTTTTTTAAATGAATTAAAAAAAAAAGTCATTCTTTTTTTAACAGAGGAAGTACAAACGGAAAACGAGAGTAAATTTGAATTATTTTTTACGAAGTTTTAGTTGCATCGATTTCAATGCACAAACATTTATTCAATAGAGTTATGTTTCTAGGCACTTGTTATGATTGATTTTAGGCACTTGTTATGCCTTGATTTTACATTTCGATTAGGCTGATCTTATTAATTGAGGCTTATTAAAATAGAATGTTGACTGTGTTGTGAATAATTTTTGTTGAGAAGAACAAAAATTGCCATTGGTAAAAAGCCCTCTTCACTTTCTTTTTTCCTTTTGTTGAAAAAAGCGTTGTGAAAAGTATATTTCAAGTAAACGTATACGCAAAAAAAAAAAAATATATCCATTTTAGTAGTGGAAAGTTGCATAAAGTTGAATGAGGTAGGTGTAATATTGAATTTCAATTTTCAGCCATTTCAGAGAACGTTATTAAGAGTGACCTTTTAGCTGTAAAACGTGCTTCACACCGTTATTGAGAGTGACCTTTTAGCTGTAAAACATGTTTCACAGTAACGAATTATAGAACTTTACTGACAGTAACGTTTTATGTCTATTTACTCCGTCAGATTTTTGTCTTTTTGCCATTAAATTTTTTGAATAAAATATAACCTAAAACGTTACTAAGAAATATGTTTATACTAATTTTGTAAAATTTCAAAAAAAAAGTATTATTTTGGTGAATTGATTTTAATAATATCTTCTTTTAGTCAAAAATTCGTTAAAAAATAATTCTAAAGCTAAAGTTATTTCTAATTATAGAAAAGTAAAACTTATAAAAAAAAAAAAACATATTATCACATAGATTAAGACAATGGGAGTATAAATTTGATAAGGTACTGCGAAATAAAGTGAATACACTTCTTATATAATAAAGATGTGTGAGCTCTCTGTTTATTTATTATTTATTTAATAATAAAGTTGATTGAGCCGAGTCTCATCTCTCGAGTCCAGTCCACAAATAATTTGTTCTTACTGTCATGCCTGCTATAAAACACGATAATGTATATTGAACCATTTCGAGCATGTTTCCCCCACTCTTCAATCATAATGTATAGAAAGGGTGCCTCGGACATAAATAAATCACGTTTGAGTACTTATAATGTGATTTTAAGGTTAAATCTCAAAACTAAAACGTCAGTGCTCACATTTCTTCAAAGTTGCTCAAAATCGTAACGTTCCTTCTTAGAAACAAAAACATTGTGTTTATAGGGCTACATTTCCTCTTTATGTTTGTAAAACTTGAATAATAGGATGTGGTGATGATTCATCCATTCCAACAATAAGCAGTGGGTTCCTTCCATTAACATTAAAATGTTGCATGTAGCTACTGGTAGTCATACTTTTCGTGTCAGCTCTTTCCAATGTATCCTACCAAATAAGTCTAAATTGTTGCTCAGGCTCCTGTTGAATTGAGTAGAAAGAAAAATACACATCAGTGAGTGACAGACTTTATCACTATCTTCACAATAATATATCATCCATTTATATGACTCTTATTATTTTACAACAAGAGCTACTATGCCCTATTCCAACCAGGTGTGCCTCAAAACATTTGAGGCTATTTGTTACATAAGTGGTTTTTACTAAGGTTTGCAAATACATTCTTACATTATTCTCATTTGAGGGAATTTGAAAGTTACAAAGCTTGTGATATCTAAATATTGAGTTCAAAAAATCCACAAAAAGAAGTTGGTTAAACAATATGGGAGTTAAGGAGATACCAGGAACTTGAATCCATTTAATTTTATCAAATAGATGTTTTCAAAATGATGTTAATATTTTCTTATGCAGTAACTAACTATAAACTCATACAAATGGGCTGGAGGGAGTAAAGCGGAACCCTGTTGTAGTCTAATATGCCTTAACTCAGCATATGAAAAGGTGAGATAAAGTGATGCATGTTGCTTATATGCTAAACTGTTCCTATACTCCACCTTACAGTGGACGAAACACATGTACCCTAAGGTGGAGTCTATGTAGAGAGGGTCAGACACACAAGTACAGGCATGGAAAAGGATTGTGCGGTTCATGAGAGCAAGGGAAAAAAGAAGAAGAGAATGCATGTGTTTACCTTGTAAACAGAACTGGTCATAGGAAGTGAATGCATTAGGTCATCGGTTTGTTTAGATAACAGTTATGCAAGTCTGTTTTTCTCTTTTTTATTTTCACGAGCCTTCTAAAATGAGTATTTTCCTTGATGATGTTGAATAAAAAAAATTCTATGCAAAAACTACTAAAGTGGTGCATATAGAATACTCAATAGTTTTGCTTATTAAGGCATAAACTTACCAATCATATCTTCGCTAAGTATCTTCAACTCCAAGTTGTCGAAGAGAATCAGGGGCAACAAGGAACACACGTCTAGATGTTTGAAACCGGAAAACTACTATCCCTTTATATGCTGCCCGTGGTACACCATCCTGATGAAATGAATAGTTAATGCAAGTTTTACAGAAAGCATAAGAACCATGAGTCCATGACAGAGGACAAATCCATCACAGGCTCGCAGCTAGAGTGAGTAGACCTGTCCATAGTCCGGGGTAAGAACCGACATGGGGCCAGTCAATAATCCATATTAAATACAGATTACCCTAACCCGTGTTTCACTTGCATGTTGCATCCCATCATGGCCTATTTCAATTCCATGAGCACCCTTTCCCCACAGTAGGACTTACCACCAACACCAACAACAACATACCCAGGGGTCTGTGGAGGGTACTCCGAGGTAGAGAGGCTGCTTTCAAAAGACCCTTGGCTCACCAAATCAAAGCAGTAACAAAACGGAAAAAAATGGTAGTGGAGAGAAACATGACAACTAATAGCAGAGTAGGACTGACCATGAGCAACAACTGGACCTTATAAGAATTGATCTTTAAAATTTATAAACACAACATTAAATATAATCTAACTTTATTTATCAAAAAGCAACTTAGTTTGCATTTCTTTAAGAATTAAGTAATCAAATTGACCAAGTAACCAAAGCCACAAATAAAACAAGTAAATGGCAATAAATTCATCTACTTTTTTGATAAATCACCTCCTATTTCATTTCTGCTAATTCTATACATGTAGGTATATATTCCAGAACAAATATATTACAATATAATTTCAATATTAAAAAATATGAATATTAATAATAAATATATGAGGCCAGAACGGCCAGTCCACAGGCAATTAATACTATTCAAGTCTTGCCCATTGGCAAGCTCAGTTTTTGTTCAAGCCCAGACGCACAAAGTTGACTGCCCCAAGCCCATAGATGCCTACAAGTGAAAAGGGAGAAGGAAAGCATGCATTTCAATTTCACCTCCCTTTGCACCTCAGTCCTAGAAGGAGATGAGTTGTGGAATTGGATTCTGATTGCTCACTCTAATCCTAAGGCACCTGCATTTTTCTTTTGTGTTGCAAAACTATACCAGCAAACAGCAACTATTCATATCCATGCTATATCCAAATAAATTATTAAAAAATCATATGACAGTGAAACAGTAAATCTCCAAGAGCTAAAAGTATAAAATCAGGCATGAATTTTGAACTCCTCAATAGTCTATTTCAAAGTTAAGTAAAATAGATGCCCAATATGCAATGCACAGTCATTAGTCATACCCAACATATGCAATAACTGCATCAAAAGAACCCACTCAAACAGATATGATCAAATCTCAGGTCATAATCAATTTTATATGAAATAGAAGGGGTCATATATGCATTACCTTCCATTCTTCAAAAATGCCAAACTGTCGAGCGATAGCTTCAAAGTCTAGTTGGTCTCTGTACTGAATACGCACATCACCATCTATGTTAAATGCTTTCAAAACAGCATCAGCTCCGTGGATGGGCTTAGCCTTTTTAACCAAGTCGCCAAAGTGTTTCACATAGTTGTCCTGAGAACATGAAACTACAAGTTACATACGTTCCTAAGTTCTTTAATCTTCACCACATAATAATCCTCAAGTCATTACCTCCAAAAGGTAACTTAGGTCCATTGACTTCCAATCAACCTTCAAACAAAATTCCAGGTAGAATACATGTCGTACAAATGGAAAGAATTGAGTAGACAAGAAAAAAGGGGAGATGGCAACAAATACACAAGGGAGTTAGTAACATGCCTGGAC